ATATATATGTGTGTGTGTCTGTGTATGTATGCGTGTGTATATAATGTGCATACAAGAATGCATATTCATATGTGATACCTGGCTCGGTTTCAAGACATTGTGGGTATCTCTGCTGACAGTCACGAGCGGTCGCCCGACGTACAGGAGTACACCTATCAGATCACAATTAGCATAGATCGGCCTCGGAGTGTCTCTAGGCCAGCCGAAATGGTACTTTTGTGTGGGAAAACGCTTGAGAAATTTGGCTGTGAAACAGAAGTACAAACACAATGGTCAATTCGCAATCAACTAATTGGCACAAGCTCGCCCACAGGATACTTGCGATGGGGTTTCCGCGCTAAGTACGCGTTACAATTTTGTATGGCCGTTGGGAGGCAACGGAACATTTGGAATATACGAGCCTGCGAACAATATCTGATCCGAGAATCAGTACAAAATAAAATTTCGTATCATATTCCGAACTATCGACCGAGATGGATCCGTGCCAGAATACGCAATTTCTGGTCATAAACGTAAACTTACTGATATTCTTGCTCGCCGGATTAGGCGCAACGACGCGGACATGGCCCGTCGGCGTTGACGAATTGACACTGACTTCCATGCCACACAGATCATCCTCGTCCTCATTTCTAACAAAAATTTAAAAAACATACGGAAATAACAGGACAACGGGTTCAATCTACCGAAAACACAGTTATTCACACCAGAAAGACGCAATTGGAGACAGCGATCGTTCACATCTGGGAAACACTAAGGTCGCCTATTCAGTTCCTCTGCGATCCGAAGCAGTGCACACAGTCGGGCAAATTGTCGTGTGCGATAATGCGATAATTGACGAGAGCCTATAACTATGCGCCCCTGACTACCACAGAGTGACTGTCACTGCTATGAAACAGGTCAACCGGTGAGTGATCTTCCAAGCGACCGGCTACCAGTCGGATCTACCGGACAGAGCGAGGATATGTAGACTATCGCCGATACAGCCAGAGTGTATGTGGGTGTCTTACGGACAAGGTGTGCCTGCTTGCGCATGGCATAGGCACCATGTTTGTAGCCCGGTCAGATTTCATGCTGCTGTGTATGTGTGAGCACACACGCTCGCAACGCCACTTGTGAGGGGCAATAAAGAAACCGGATGACATCGAGGTACTATTTTGCTACCTACATGTGATGTATACCGTTTGCTTTCACAGAAAACATTCGTCACATCGAAGCCACACTGTGCCATTTAATACTTACGAGCACTCCAGAACGGAATCAATCGGAAGTGCTCTATGGACATCACACTACTTAGTCACAGCCTATTGTAGCGCCTCATTGCTACAACATCCAACCAGACCACACACAACTTTCTATAATAAGAACACTAGCACACGACCATACGTAGCAGCAACTAGCTCTACTATTGGACCAGGCAACTCAGAAGTTTCCTACATACTTGGAAGGACTCTAGAACGGGTTCAGCCGGCAGCCGTCTATGGACACTACACGCCCCAGTTGCACCAATGTCTCACTACTGTAACATCGAACAAGACCACGCAAATCGTTCTATAATAATAACACTAGCACACGAGTATACGTAGCTGCAGCTAGCATCACTATTGAACCAGGCAACTCAGAGTTTACATACGTACTTGGAAGCACTCCAGAACGGCTTCAAACGGTAGCCGTCTATGGACACTACACTCCCCAGTTGCACCCCATTGTAGTGCTTCATTGCTGCCACATCCCACAAGACTACACGCATCTTGGTGCTAGTCGAGCCTTCCGCATTGCTCGAACTACTTATGCCCGCTGTAGAAAGAACGATATCAGCAGACATTAGAATGCAAGCATGTCAGAGTCATCGAAGTATCCAGGGCTATACAGATCAAAACATACACAGGAATCTGTTGTAAATAAGAACAGACACAGGAATCTGTTGTAAATATAAACAGACACAGGAATCTGTTGTAAATATAAACAGACACAGGAGTCTGTTTGAATATACACATTGATTGTTTAGTGCTTAAATCCCGTTGAGCATTACCTCAACCTTACAACCCCGAAATCGGTCCCAACGACACAACCACTGTATCTGCCCCGCTCATTCAATGCACTACATCGGACAACTAGTAAACCCTACAAATACACTCGGACGGCTGAACCAGGTACATATAAGAATCTCATGGTACTCAGTGAACCTCAATACCTACACTTGCACTACATCGGACAACTAGTAACCCTACAAATTCACTCAGACGGATGAACCAGGTACATATAAGAATCCCATGGTACTCAGTGAACCTCAATACCTACACTTGCACTACATCGGACAACTAGTAAACCTACAAATACACTCAGACGGATGAACCAGGCACATATAAGAATCCCATGGTACTCAGTGAACCTCAATACCTACATTTGCACTACATCGGACAACTAGCAACCCTTATAAATACACTCGGACGGTTGAACCAGGCAGATATAAGAATCCCATGGTACTCAGTGAACCTCAATTCCTACACTTGCACTACATCGGACAACTAGTAACCCCTACAAATACACTCAGACGGATGAACCAGGCACATATAAGAATCCCATGGTACTCAGTGAACCTCAATACCTACACTCAAACATATAGACGCAACGCGAGAGATGACGACTCACAATGCGAAGTACGGTATCATACGTACAAGCATTTAAAGCGAACTCACAAAGTGAAACCCAGAGGTTCAAACAACACAGCGCACACAGTCAGAAAATCTCACGCACCAATGGTGAAGCTGCCTCGTATGGGTGCCAGGTGTTTGGCATCCATGGTGGCATGTTGCATGAGTCGTTGTTTAGCAACCACGCGTCCATAGATCGTCAGCTTCCTGATGGTATTGGTGTAGAAGCAATGTATGTTATTTGGAGGTTCCCGGTGCAAGCCATAAAAACGTGTGAACCCTCTTGTGCGCACACGTACGAGTGAATAGGCATAATTTGATGCCAACAGCCTATACAACCGCTTACTAATCTATCCTGTCCCATAGTAAATAGCCCAATACTCACCGAGGTACACATATCCCGTTCAACATCCGATACACTGGTCAATGGGTGATTATATTGAACAGGCTTTACATGACAGACAGACAGTGCACAGAAAACTGCTCTCATCATTTGCCTCTTTCCGCATAGAATAAGATGTTAACACACGAGTCAACGATATAGTATCATCACCGTGCCCGGAATACGCGACAAGCCCAGCAATGTCAATGATAACTCTGTCATCTACTGCCCTTGACAACCAAACTAACACACAAGTGTGTATGTCAGATGACGGTCACATCGAGTGTTGCATCCATAGCACGCCATGAAGCAGATGATGAGAGCATTTGACGAACTCTTTGGCCCAATACTTACTTGAAAAGAGCGTTGCGACTTACTTTTTGACACCATTTTGTAGAATGTCGTCCAAATTGCTGACCTGAATTGTCTTCGGCCGCTGTGTTCATACAGAATCGGGGAGCAAAAAGCCAAACTTCAGTTGTGAAATACAGTTTCGTAAACCACCGATGCATCCATACTTACTTTCAAAACTCACAAGTCCAAACGATCTAGGCTTCGCGCATAGCTACCCAGTAAACGCACCCAGAGAACCCCGGTGATTGACTCCTTGCCGGCCTATACCACCGAAAACAACCCTGCATACGCAGGCAAGAAGTCGCTTTGCGAGACGTACCTCTACGTCCAGCTCAGATTTCCACTTGGGATCACGCGCCAACACGTCCGTGCTGTTGTGCATTGCGATGTAGTATAACCGCGTTTCGAGAAGAGGTGTGTATAGTCGCGTGCGCGTTGGCTCATCCATCTGAATAGTAGCGAGCAGTGTATAAAGCCATTTAACAACACAACCGACCAACCACGGCAAGTGCTCTATACGTACACTGTCACATCCTCGACTGGGCCTGTGGCCTTACAGGTAGCCATTGGCTGGTCAGGCATAAGTCTCGATCTCATTGTGTGATCAGTTCGTGCTGTTGCGCACTCGGTGTCAGTGTGTATGCGCACAATGTGTCTAGTAAGTGTAGGCAAGACCGCAGAGATCGAAAGTGGGGATATAAATGATAAAAAATCCGAATTATGTCTTAACATCCTTCTATGGCGTATGGTGGTGGTGCTAGCAGCAGCGCAGAGATCAAAACGATGGTCAGAAAAACAATGGAATAAGGTCTTATCATGCTCCTATATGAGGCATCATGCGAGAACTCTGTATATCTCTCTCTCGCCCTGATGAAGAACTGACCGGTAGTCCAGGTGATTTGGACCGAGTGGCAAGATGCCAACCATATTCACACTATACTAGATTCCGTACGATATCAATGCGGATGTCCCTAAGCATACCAAAGCTTAATTCACCTGTAACATACAGCCAGAAACTCGCATAGTACAACAATAGTAAACCACGCACGTCTACACAGTATCCGAAGGAGTGCCGTCTATCGGCACACAACGTAAGAGATAAACAACCCGACACACGCTCGGCAATTCTATACCCTGTCCTCGTCCAGCCCTACATCGCAATCCTGCCGTAGCACACGCATGTCCTGAATGATGATGACGTTGCTGGCCGCTGTGCTGTTCTTGTGCTGCTTCAAATACAGCTTCACTCTATCTATTCGTATGAGTGTTCCGGTGCGTATCCTTGCCTTGTAGACGTCTTCGTAGGCACTAGGTGGCAGTACAGCTTTCATCTGCAAAGTAGGATAATAAATAGTAAATGAGTTCCGCATATATGCGAGTGGCCCAGGTGGTAAGTACGGAGGAACGTCAGTAATGTTGAGATTGATGCTGTTAGTGCAGGGTATAAATGGGACGGATCATACCACATGTACGTCCAAAGGCTGCTAACATATTGACTCGACAACTGAATCCGTAGTTTCTCATTCATAGAGACGTGCCACTATCCCACAACTAGCATCAGACGCGTTGCCCAATGCGAAGTAGTGATCAAGGGAGAGTGCACATATTCCAATGCGTACTATTTACATACCCAAATATTTGGGTACTATTTACATACCCAAATATTTGGATCAGATTCCGGCTCGCAAAACACCACGTCGAACATGTCTGCGTTGTCATCATCAAACTGCGCCGTGACAGCCTTTTTGACCAGCGGATCCCTGACATCTGTTTAATTGGGCGAATGTTCGGGTCAATCGGTGTTCACATGCGTTGTATCTCCAACTAGCGCTCACGGCTACTCAGTGTATTACTATACGTTTGCGAATGGGGTTCAGTCTGAGGCGACAGACGCGAGACTGCGCCGCAAAGAAAGAGAGACAGATGTGTAGTTCCTGAACTTTCGTTTCTGTGTCCCGGATATAGATGATCGAATTACACACAAACGTTTGCACAACTGCTACCGATACTGCGAGAAAGCTTGGGATAGCCCTCAATAATCGACTATCAATCTCAGAGGACCACAATGTTTACGAGCTTTGTATAGATGATTTGGGTGTGACGCATTATGTGTACTTTCTATATGGGTGCTAGTAGTTGTGTTCCAATCGATATCCAACCCCGAGCTTATTCGAAGTCACAGAACTAACTGATTGTTAACCATATCCTTATGCCAATAATCGCTGCACCATAAAAATATTAGCCGTGCGTACAGCCGACACACGATGGTACATCAGTCATAATAGATGAACACTGCAGCTACGCTCCCAAAATTCCTTCGACAGAACAAGCCGGGGAAAAAAAAGTACACACTTACAACGCCTGACGTCGGCAACAACAACATTTATTGGTAAGCAGCGCTCTTTTGTGATTTCCTCCTCACAGAGTTGCAAGCACAGGCCAATCGCATCCGGAGTCGGTACGTCATCAGGTGTCAACTCTAGATCTAGATCTAGATCCAGATTTGGATCTGAGTCCATGCTGCAGTTCTTACTTGACTTTGAACCGTGGATAACGAAGCCAAGCCGGTATCTGGTTGCAGGTTACTTGGTGCCTGCCCCTTATACACTCAGTGGTGCACCTGAAAGGTTGCAACAACAAACACCGTTAAAACAAGTGTGGGGATTTGGCTCAAATACATTGCAAGCGACCGCCTTCAAGATATTGCTGTAACAATATATATATATATTTACAAACATACACACACACACACACACACACACACACACACATA